TAACTTGTTGCCTTCACGTGTCAACCACACTAACATTGATTTCTTATGTTCATTAGAATTTTCATGATTTTCTAAACAAGTTCCTATGTGTTTCCAATCAGAAAATCCGGTTGTGTATTGAGAAGAAATTTTAGAAAAAAGTTTGCAAGTCAAACAAAAAACAGTACCAACCCTGATTGAATAACATAACCAAGATCTTTCCAATGATTGACCATTTTTCATTTTCTTAATGAAATACCTATTTGAAAATGTTCTGTTTTGTTCTTTGCATTTCTATATTGAAGCTGAATATATATTTTTCGGATCTTTATTTTGAAAGTCAGTCATTTCATGTGAGAGTATGTCATTAATAAAATCATTATTTAGCAATTCTGACCACAAGCCCACGTCAACATATTTCTCAAACTTAATATTCTCTAAATTTCTTTCCGCCTCGGTATTACCGTCCTCTTGCTGAACACCAATATAGTTTTCAGTGGGATCAGGGGGTTTCTGGTAGTCAAGACAGTTATTAGTAAACTAAACAAGTTTGTCACTTTGACGACGAGAACAGAAGTGTGGGAAAAAAACAAAATTGCATCGGGCGTTAAGCGGCGCTGCGGGAAGTCCCCCATAATAGACGCGAAAAAATACACTGACCAAAAACAAGCGACGGGTAATTCCCTGTTCCGTTCGATAGACGCGCACATGCATGGGTTGATTGATCTCAGGGTTGCCTACCTTATAATATATATTTTTTTTAATATTAGATATTTTTTTAATTCAAAGTATCACATATTGTTTCCAGTGGGGACTGGGGCCCTTTATATCCACGGGGCCCTGGGCTGCAGCCCAAAAAGCCCTTAAGTAGATCCGCCCCTGGTCTGATATTAGTCAGTCACGAGCCACACTTAAATTTTATTTAGTCTCGAAAATGCGCCTTAAAAATTGACATTATTGCTTAATCGTTGAATTTTTTTAAACTTGCAATAATTTCACAAAAGACTCTCTTGAAAAATTTATCTGTTATATTAAGGTTCATGGCTACGAGCTCATGATTATATTGTGAGACGCATATGAATAGAACTTTCCAAGTCCTCAACCTGGACAAAGTCGCCATTTTATCAATTCAACGGTTTTGCCGTGGAGAGGAGGGTAAAATTTCGATTGTATTGAGAATGTTGATTCTTGAACATCCTCCCCATGGATGTCTTTGAAACCCTTGTTGATTTTGCTTGGTGACGAGGAGGGGTGGAAAAACTCTCACAATCTTCGATTACGTAAGGATCATTTCACGAAGGCGCGAAAGTCCGAGTGCGACAATTTAGTTTCGTGCGTAATCCACTTTATATTATCATTTGATGCATTGTTATGGGTTGTCGTGATAAAAATAGGTATATCCCGCCATCCTTTAGTTCACCTGGATAAATAGTAGGTTCCTCTGAGCATCATTCTCTATTCATTCGGATTATTCCCGAGTTCATGCAATCAAGGAATTTGAGAGAAGTGTTTTGGTGGAAGAGTTTTTAAAATATATTAAAATTACTGTCCACAGAGTAAAGGGGTTCAGTGTAAGTAATGATTTTTTTTTCTCCTTTCTTTTCTTTTTTATTTATTTTGAAAAATGAAGATTTTTTTTATCTACGTAATAGTTGTTAAAAAGAAAGAATTTATTCTGCATTATGCGTTTCAATATGAGCAGAATTTAAAACATTTGTGTTTTTAGTCTTTAGATGGCATTATAGTTTTTTTTTTCTTCAGTGTAAGTAATGATTTTCTCTCCTTTCTTTTCTTTTTTAGTTAATTTGAAAAATGATTATTTTTTTTATCTACTTAATAGTAGTTAAAAAGAAAGAAATTATTGTACATTATTCATTTCCATGTGAGCAGAATTTAAAACAATGTGTTTTTAGTCTTTAGAGGGCATTATAGTTTTTTTTATATATATAATTTTTTTTCAGTGTAAGTACTGGTTTTTTTTTCTTTCTTTTCTTTTTTATTTATTTTGAAAAATGATGATTTTTTATCGATATAATAGAAGTTAAAAAGAAAGAATTTATTGTACATTATGCATTTCCATATGAGCAGAACTTAAAAAATTTCGGTTTTGAGTCTTTTGATGGCATTATAGTTTTTTTTATGTATATATATATTTTTTTTTTTTTCAGTGTAAGTATTGATTTTTTTTCCCTTTCTTTTCTTTTTTACTTATTTTGAAAAATGATGATTTTTTTATCGACGCAATAGTAGATAAAAAAAAAGAAATTATTGCACATTATGCAGTTCAATATGAGCAGAATTTAAAACATTTGTGTTTTTAGTCTTTAGATGGCATTATAGTTTTTTTATACAGTTTTTTTTTCAGTGTTAGTAATGATTTTTTTTCCTTTCTTTTCTTTTTTATTTATTTTGAAAAATGATGATTTTTTATCTACTTAATAGTAGTTAAAAAGAAAGAGTTTAGTGTTCATTATGCATTTCAATATGAGTAGAATTTAAGACATTTAAAGCTTTTAGTCTTCACATGGCATTATAGTTTTTTTATATAATTATAATAAAAATTATATATTATGGTAATAAATAATAATAAATAAATAATAATAAATGAATAAGAATAATGAATAATAATGATAAATAATAATGATAAATAAATAGTAATAAATAAAAGCAATAGGGCAGAAAATATTACTTTTTATAATAAGTTTTAAAAAGTAATGCTTAAATTACTTTCTTAAAATTATTAGAAAGTCATTTATGTATATCTGGATAAATACACTAATCACGATCATTAAAAATTATTTTTATTTGAAAAATACATAAATTAACGTTTGGAAACTTTCTAAGATGAATTTTTAAAAATAAACTGCCAGTTTACATGATGAAATATCAATTACACTTATCATATTTGTAAATTTGCTACTACTTTTTATTTATCTACTTTTTCTTTCTATGTGGCTTATTGTTATTTCCCATTAAGTGCATTATTAATTACAAATTCTCGAAAATAGGTATAAATTTGATTTTTAAACATACATTTTTAAATCGGATTTCTTTCACGTTTATCTAAAGCCGTTAACTCATAATGTATGGTAAAAATTGCAATATATCAAGTCAAGGCGCATTTCATTTTCAAAGCTCAAGTCGTAGCAACAAACTTGGTTTAAACATATGTATTGGCTTAGACGAATGACAATATCCATACTAGGATACTTTTTACGCAATTTTTGCTTTAATTTTAGAAGAGTAATTCTGGATATTCTTGATTTTTTGTGATACTTGATTCATTATTTTTCAATAATACGTGTTAAACTATCCTAAATTTACTTTTTGAAACGTATAAAAATATAGTTTGATATATTTTAAGAGTGTCAATTTTTTTTTTTACTTATTACAATTAGATTCTTGTTATGATCAGATAATTCGATACTAAATTTTCATTATTGTACTGGCGGCTACATTAATCATTTCCAGGAACTTACGCTAAATAAAATTTAAAATTTTGCTGTAAAAAAAATATATATATATTTAAGTCATGTAAATTTAATTCATATTTAAGTCAATATTTTCATCTTTTATTGTTTAAAATTATTTAATATTAATGGTGTCTCATGCATTATCCCAATTCCTTAAGATTATGAGATACTGTTTTAATTATCGTAAAATTTTATTTTTCGAATATCAGATTTTTTTTTTCCTAGAGGCATAGACAGAGTTAAATTATGAATTTAGATATTTTTCATGACCTTTTTTCATAAATTTCCTTTTACTAAGTCAGTTACTGACAGAAGAAAGAAAAACTAGTTGTAGTTTTTTATTTAGTTTTGAAGTTATTTCATTATTAATGTTACGACTATTAGCGGAAATAATGCCCATTAAAATTACCTTAATTAAGAATAAATTCGCCTATTTTTTAAGTAATGAAATAAAAATTCATGATTAAAAAATGGAAGAAAGAAGTGTAAAAAAAAATAATAATATAACGAATAAATTGTATTTATTTTTCGAAGGATATTATTCTAAACAGCATTACATTAATCACGATTAATTAGAGTGTTGTAATATCAGCCAATGACACATAGCCTATCTTTGATATGAGGATTCAAGATCAAAGTAGTAATTTTCATTGTTCACTTCTTTTCAACTTCGAATTCACCTCTGTGAATTCCCGATATTTGACGTCACGGCACATACTGCTCTGATTGGCCAACGAATAGCTGACGAAGGAGAGCAAGCAAGCTTACAGCTAGATATATAACTGTGTAGTTTGAAACAAAATACCTTTTCCCCTTGTGTTTTGTATGGTTGTGCTTGTGCAGTAGATTAATGTTAAGTAACTACTGCAATCCTGGATCGTCAAATTTTTATTAAAGCTGATAATTAAAGTTTTCACCATTCCGCCTTCAAATATATCAAATATCCACGGGTGCTGGGAAGCTTCTCATCAGGTGCGATTGTTGCCATTTTTGTCGGAAACGTATTTTTTTTAGAAAAAATGTTTTTTGAAAAACATCTTTTCATAAAATCTTGATATTATTGGTAATCTTCAAAATGTTATGTGAAATTTGCAATTCAATAGCTTTTTATTAGTAAAAAGATCGGAGTTTTTAACTATTCTACGATCTTTAAAATATGGCGTGTTTTTCACGTTTTTTATCATGTGCTCAGCTAGTGATTAGATTAAGGTAAACCACATGTATTATTGAAAGTATCTAGAAGATTTGTTATAAGCGATCGAAGCTTTTAGAATAATGTTATTTATTTTCTGAAACTTTTAATTTGCTAAGACAGACTTATATTATAAAAATAAAATAAAAAATACTCAAATGGATACACGCCAAACTTCATGTAAAGGTTATGCGTAATATATAATTTCTAAAAAAGAATTTCAAATTGACGAAATGTTTTAAAAGTAAATTCTTTGATTTTTAATCAATTTTTGTATGCTTTTAATCGGTAAGTAATAAATAAGGAGAGTAATCTATGTCGACCTTTCATTGTAAAGGTTATGTGTGTAATAAATTCTAAAAAAAGAAAAAGTGAAAAAATATTTATAAGTAACTACACTGTATTTATAAATTTTCGTGTCACAATAAACAGTAAATAATATGATGGATCCTTTCAAACTTTTCATGTACTTAAAAGTTATGTTATGAAATAATTTCTAAAACAAGAATTACAAATTGATGTTGAAATATTATAAAAGTTCATTGATTCATTGTATTTATAAATTTTTGTATGTTAGTAATTGGTAAAAACAGTAATGTGATAGATCTATGTCAACCTTTTATGTAAAATATATTTAAAAAAAAAAAACGTCCAATTGATGTCCTATTTTAAAAGTAATTTATATTCATTTACAAAATTTTGTGACCTGTTAATTTTATTCCTATTATTTCCATTGCATCGATATATAATTCGGTCTGTGTAGTCCTTTGCTATTTGCTTACAATTATTGCTTTTTTTGATGTAGGTAATAATAGATGCAATAGTAACATTTTTTCAAACTTCTGAATCTGGTTGTAAAATTTGCCTTTAATATCTAATTCTTTTATTTAAAGATAATACTCTAAATCTTGTGTAGATGATATATGCTTACATTGATAATTTGGTTGCCCCCGCATCATTAATTGGAAATTGAATAACAAAAGTTTTCCTCTGCAATGTTATAATTGGTACATTTGTTTGTACACATTATTAGGGGTTATTTTTATTTACTATGTTTTTTTTATCAATCCTGTTTTCATGAAGCCTATACAAGAGTTACTTTTGCCCCAAGAAAATGACACTGATCAATAACATGACACTGAGCACTAACGTTTTGAAGTCAATAAAGGTAACCCCTAAGAACGACTAACCTCCATTAACGACTATTTTATTCTGGAACAGAGAATAGTCGCTCCAGACAGGTTTCACTATATGTAATTAATGTTATGTCGAAATGAATATAAATAACCCATTTTTATCAGAATGTGGAAAATTGTTTAAAGTTTTCGTTCATTTTAAATGAGGTTAATGAAATCGTTAAATAAGGCGAATTTATGTTTACAGCATTGAAATATACTTATGATTTTTTATTTTTAAATATTGAGCTTTTTTTTAAATTTTTTTTTCTTATTTGACTCTCTTTTGATAAGTTATATTCTTAGACCATGTGATATAATGTCATTCGCTTTCGAAATTTTTATTCAAAACAAATTTTGATAAGCAGTTTAGAATTTTACTTATTTGTTAAAGTACCCATTAGTAAAGTAAAAGAAAGTTGAAACATTTTTGTTGTTTGAGAATTTCTTTCTGTAAAGTGATTTGACATAGGTTACCTGCATAGTCTATACATTTTTACAGTGATTGCATTCACGCCATCCACTTTTTTGGCATTTTTATTTAAAAAAATTTATTAACTTTTTTGTTTATTCATGTAGTGGTTTGGCATAATAATCTTCAAACAATCCTAATAATTATCTTTTTGTTTTCAGGGAAGGCTTGCCTTCACGTTCCCAGTTGTTTTCCTTTTGACATACGAGTGCGAGGGTGGTCCACCTTGGGATACTAGCTGACGGGGCCTAGAGTATTCTTTGTAAGCCATGTAAGTTATATTTAATGTATATTAACTTATTTTTTATTAATCATGATAATCATTTATCAAATAATGTATGCACAAGCTGTGAATATCTTTATTTATTTTTGTTTAAATTCATGGACTGAATGTTTTAATAAATACTTTATTGCCTTATTTTAAGATACATAATTTATTTGAATTTAATTAATAAATGACTTTTCTGATTAGTTTTCTGAAAGATTATATAAATTGAATACATTTACTCAAATTTCTTGTGTCCTGAAATACAACTTTATTTTCATATTTATAGATCTAAGAAAAGGTAAATTTCCTTTGTAGCCAGATTTAAACCTTAGCATATTTTCTACCATTCTTTGAATCTCTATTCAATCTAAATAAAGTAATTTATTAAAATTAAAAATACTCCTATACTAAACTGTTACTTAAACTGTTGTGAAATCGATTTTTTTTTATTTATCTAACTTTAATAAAATGTATATATCATAGTTTGTTGCAAATAACCATTTTCTTAGTTGAAAATAAGAGTGATGCAAATTGTTAAAAATTATGAATTATCTATAGATTAGTTTTAAAAAAAACTGCCCATTTTTTTTCTTTATCAAAAATTCTATTTACTCCTATAATTATTAAATAAAAATATTAGATTTAAGAAAGAGAGTGGTTTACTATCCTAACCAATTAAATCTAAATTTAGAAGCAATATACTTCTTAATATTTTTATTCCTTATATTAATTTAATTTCTCAAAATGTCTTTTTGATATTTAATGACAGTAAGCTTTATTTCTATACTTATAAATAATTTTTTGGGTGATGTGTAATTATGTTAATTAAGATGTGTGTATTAACTTTTGTTTTTGGTTGAATTATTATGCTAATTTCTAAATAAAGTTGAGCAAGTTAACAAATGATTAAATTGACCACAAAGATTAAAAAGGTTGTAAGAAATAAAGCACACCTGTAATTTCTGCATCGCTCTTGCATCTGGAAGATGGTTCTAAAACATCTGCCATACAATTAAATAGTTTAATGTCTTGTCATAAAAATTTGTTCGATTCGCAGAGATCATATTTTTGACATTATCATTTCTTTTGTAAGTTTTGAACAAGATATCTTGATAATGTTATGTAATAATATAATTGACTACCGATTTTATTTAAAATTTTTGATATAAGTATAGGTAGTTAAATATTTATAATTTTGAAACATTTAGCTTTTCTTATACATTATTAGTATTATTGTATAGATTCTTTCTTTTTGATGTCATTTTCAGCTGTCATCAATTACTTATTTTATTATTATTCTTACTTATTATTTGCTGAGATCATATTTTTGACATTATCATCTCTTTTGTAAGTTTTGAACAAGATATTTTGATTTGATAATGTTATTTAATAACATATTTTACTAAAAAAAAAAGATTATAAGAATAGCTGTATTAATTTGTAAATTTTATTTTAAATCCTGTTTTTCTGCTTCAATTGTTTGTTTAAAATTGGCTAAGTTGACTACCGATTTTGTTTAACATTTTTGATATAAGTATAAGTAGTTAAATACTTATAATTTGTGAAACAATTAACTTTTCTTATGCATTATTGATATTATTGTGTTTCTTTTTGATGTCATTTTCAGCTGTCATCAATTACTTATTTTAATTTAATACTATTTGTTACAAAATTTAAGTTTTATCTGTAACAGAAATTCAAAAGTTCAAATTTAATATCAATTTTTAAATAATTTATGTATAAATTCTTATTCTTTTTATGTTGTATTCAGCATATTGATAATAGGCATTTTGTTGAAAAAGAATTGTATGAAACTCTACAAAATTGCAATCTTTTTATATTTGTATCATTAACTGAGTAGTTAGTTAAATTTTTTCTTAAATGGTCATTTCCCCCCCCTACATCATTAAATTATTGTATATTTTATTCTGCTTATGCAACTTTTAATTTATTTTACTTATGATTCTCTTTCTTGCTTAGATCTGAAACATTTCCTGGAATCTTCCAATTTTTATCTGCATTTATTTCAAGTGACTTTTTCCATATCGAGATAAAGATGAAATCTCCCGTTGGAAATCCTTCTGTTGAAATTGTCAGCGACATGACAGTCTTTGACCTTGTTACCAAAATTGTTAATACAGCTGTAAGTTCAGGTTTAATAGATTTTAGTTATGAAGAAAACTTGTATACATTTTAAAATTAATACTTACTATGTAATTTAGTTTTAATGATAGTGGGTTATAAAACAATCTGCTTTTGTAAAGTGTTTAGTTTTTTTAAATTTTGTTAAGAAATGTAAAATTTATGTTTATTTATTTATTTATTAACTTACCTGTAACAACTTAAAGCTAAATTTTCAAAGTAATATTGTGGAATGTATCAAAAGAATTAAACTTTTTTGAGTTATGAATTAGTTAATGTTAATTTGGTAATAATAAGTTTTGAGTTAGTAACTAAATTTGTTTAAAGAATCCATTCTTAAATGTGGGTCATCCTCAATTTTTTGTGGGCACTAGGTGACTATGTTTTCAGTCAAACTTAATTATATTTTATTCTCCCTCACTTTCTATTTTAACAATTTAAGTGCTGTAAAGAATTGTTTCTTATTAAAGTAAGGCTGCTTATTACAGTAACTAATTTGGAGTAAATTTGTCTTTAACTGATTTAATTAATATTGTTTATAATAATCAAGATTGATCTCCTAAAGCGTAATACGTATTTGATGTGATTAGAAATAGTTTATTGTAACACAACACTGCTATTGTAAGATATTTAATTGTAAGAATTTTTGAAGATTTTAAGCTTATAGTTGTGTATATAGGCTGGGGATGTTTTGTCCCTATTAAATTTATGTTTTAAAAATACTGAAGCCAATCATGTTAAATCAAAAACAATGGTTCTATCTAAAATGTGTTCATCTGTCCTGGTTTTTAAATAATTTTTGCATTAAAAAAAACATAAAATTTTATTTTGTGAGGTGTCACAACATTTACAAAATAACCCACCCTTGAAACACAAACAAAAATTCCCACCTTTGAAAATAATAAACTGTAATAATCCTTTTATTGGACAAATCTTTTAATTTATTGTTAAAATGTAATGAAAAATTAGTTATGCTTTGTGCTGATTTTAATGTTATTTATTTTTGTATTGTTTAAAAAAACCTCCTTAAACCAAGCAATAAGATGCAATTTATATTCAAAATAAAAAAAAATTTGCTGACTTTAAGTAGCATATAGTATTTTAAGAATAATTTATACAGTAACTATTAGTAGTAACTAATAATTTGGCATTTGTGGTGGAATCCTGGCTAGATTTCTCAAATTCTTGAGATTTTATGTTTAAGTATAACATAGAGTAAAGTATTAGTACTTAAATTCTTGGAATTTTTAATTGCAAACGGAATGCCAAGTAGGGAAAGCTACATAAGCACAGCCATAAATGTCTACATTATGTATAACTAAATTCAATGCATATTAATCCTTAGCTGGCATTTGCACTTTTACTGACTGATTTCAATATCACGCCTAAGTTGGTAAAAATTATTTTATTATTATTGTTGTGTATTTGCTTTTAATTTAACCGTATTTATTGTAATTAATTATAATTATATCTGGAAGAGTAAACTTGAAATACTTAACCAATAAGGGTTAGACATATACATAGGGCTAGTTATATTGATACTGGTACCTAAGCAATGGGCGATTGTAATTATGAAATTTTTTATTTATTTCAGGAGCAAGAAGAACCCTTCTTTGTTGCAGATGCATCAGATATTGTTTTCAAATACAAGATGTGGAAGCTTAAAATGCCTAGAGTCGAACCTTTCTATGGTGAGTTTAATGATTGTGACTGTTTACAAAGTTGCTTTACAACTAAATGGGCTTTTTGCTTTACAACTAAATAACTAAATAGGCTACACAATTCTAATTCTTAAAAACCAGTTTAAAATTTAAAACATCAGATTTTCTCCAAAAAAAAAAATAATAATTGTATAGAAATAAGTGTTTAAGTAAAGTGTACAATTTTGCATTATATAATATTTGCATAGTTCCAAGTATATAAAATTGCTACTATACTCTACTCTTTCATTTGGGATTGTGCTCATTTTAACTCCTAAAATTATTGGACTGGGAAATTTTAAATTAAAAATTATTTTTAAATTCTATATTTCATTATAATTATTTTTAAATTCTATAGTTTCATTTTGTTAAGTTTTTGTATTGTGCTGAAATACTTGACAATAAGTTTGCATTATCGGTATAATAAATTGCTTCCATACTTATTGGATATATTTTCTTTCCGAGAAATATGTTTTAATTAACTATTTGTTTTGTATCTTTTAGCTGTGAAGTGCAATGATTCTCCTATAATCCTTCATCTTCTGGCAGCCTTGGGTGTGAATTTCGATTGTGCCAGCAAGGTACATTATCTTATTCTGCTGAATTTCAGTTTTAACTTTATTGAACTGCTTTAAATTTAGCATTCTTTTTTGTTTCTATTGTTAAATTTTTGTTTATTCCATATTTTAGAATGAAATTGAAAGTGTTCTTAGCATGGGAGTGGATCCTTCTCGTATCATTTATGCCAATCCTTGCAAGACCAAAGGATTCATTAGGCATGCAGCGAAAGTTGGAGTAGACATGATGACCTTTGATAATGCAGTGGAGCTTAGAAAAGTCAAAGAAAATCATCCTAATGCAAAGTATGTGTTCAAACTTCCAAACATTAGTTATACTGTTCAATGTGTTCTAAATGGAATTTTTTTTCTAAGCTAATTCAAATTATTTCATTCATTTTTAACATAACCTTGATTTAATTTTTTTTTTTTGTCATGGAGCAATTTTTTAGAATTTGTTTTTAGTGCTAGCTTTTACAAGACTCTTAAATTCGGGACATGTAATCCTTGTCCTTTCCGGTCTATGTAACTACAGTTTTTTTGCCCTTTTTTTTTTTTTTTTTTTTTAAAAAACCAGAATCGAACATTTTTCTTTAAATATTGATGATTTATGATTTGACTAGAGGAAATTATAAATTTTGTTTTGAAAAAAAGATATTCAACTGTTCAATACAAAGTATGAGGAAATTAAACCTTAGTCTGTTACTTTATTTATTTTTTGTCTAATATATCTTTGTTAAAGTGTGCTTAAGCTTTTGTATTAGAAATTTTAAACTTTAACTAGATATTTTTTAAAAATCATGGTTTTAAGCGTACATTGTTGTCATTAATTCTACTATTTCTAATATATATATATATATATATATATATATAATATTACACATGCATGCATTTTGTAAAGCAAGTTTATAAATTTATAAGGTTTTGAATTCTAGTTCATTGGTAAAATAACTGCATATTTAATTTGCTTTTATTGTTTTAGGCTTGTCATCAGAATTCGGGTGGATGATAGTGCCTCTGTTTGTCAATTAGGAGTGAAATTCGGTTGCCGAATTGGTGACATTCCCCATCTACTTCAACTTGCCAAGGATTTAGATCTGGATGTAATTGGCGTAAGGTGAGTAGAGTTGCATTGATTGTGCATTTTTTTATACTGGTTTTCTATGCTTCTGGCAAAGACTTAAAAAACTTTATACAGATTAAAATTAAAATTGCTTCAAAATCTTTAAAACAGTTGCTAATCTAGGAAAATTAAGATTCCTCATTGGTTTTTTTTTTAATGAAAAGTAATTTTTAACTTAATAATAAATATTGTTAAATTTTATGCTTCTGAGGTTAGTAAATAATTTGTTGCTGTTAAGATATATAATATTGCTTACACTGTTGTATCTGGCAGGAAAGAATTATTTTATAAACAAATATTTCTTATATAAGTATTTATATTGTAAGAAGTATTCATCAGATGAATTTTTTTTCTATTTTCTAAAGATCTAGTAAATCTTGATACAATGTATCTTTTATATTTTGTGTGCCGGTTTTTCATATTTTTATTCTATACTTATTTTTTGTGTTTCTTCTCAGTTTCCATGTTGGAAGTGGATGCCAGGACAGTTCAGCCTATCGAACTGCTATTTTGTCTGCCTATCATGCATTTGAAATTGGTAAAAATATTGGTCACCATATGGATTTCTTAGATATTGGTGGAGGTTTTCCTGGTGTCAAGGGGCCTTACATTTCTTTTGAAGAGGTAAGTCAACTTGAATAGATTTAGTTTTTGAGGAACTTCTTAATGAAATTCAATAATTTAAAAATTCTGTTACATTTTTTAGTAGCAGTCGCACATTTAAAAATTTGAATTTTTTTCTTCTTTTCTTCAAAAAGCTTATTTGTATTATTTCACTTTTTTTGTCATAAGTTCCTCTAAGCTAGTTACTAGAGACTGCTAGTTAATTTATTATTACACTATTAATAATGATTGTAAATTGTAATGCTCTGCCGAACTTTAAAAATGTGTGTTTTCATTAGATATACAGTTAAATATTTTACATAATCTTTGTGTTTTTTAAAATTTTATATTTTTTGCAAATGATCATGCACTAATTTAGCTTTTTCTATTAGATTGTTGGTGCTGTCAATGAAAGTTTGGATGAATTTTTCCCACCAGAGTCTGGGGTACGAATAATTGCTGAACCAGGAAGGTATTTTGTAGCTTCTGCCTTCACTTTATGTGCCAATGTCATCGCCAAAAGGGAAACAGTATCTGAAGAAGGTTAGTTAAAAATACTAAATTGTTGTTTAAATATGCAATAAAGTTTAAGTTGATTGTAATGTCAAATCTATTTTAACCAAGTTTTGTTTAAATACTAAGGTATAAATTTTGCTAGCATTTAAAGTTCTTTACTCAATTGGCAGGCTATTTTATAATTATTAATAAGTATCTGATTTGTGTGATAAAAGATTTTGATACATTCATGATGCAACATTTTTATTTTTAAGACATAAAATTTAAATAAAGATCATTTAATAGCTACATTCATTAGTTACATACATTATTCCTTGTTGCTCAGTTAAATAATTTCTTCTGTTGGCATAATAATTTTTTATCTTTTAAGTTATATTTTTATTGCAATTAGAATATGATCGCAGATGTTTAATAGTATGGATTTTTTTATATTTTGGATTTGAATTGTAAATCTTGCTCATGTTGCTGGTATTCCATGACCTAAAAGAAAATAAGTTTGCCTCGCACACTAAAGCAGGGCTTATTGTGCTCCGTAAAAATTCCAGATTTTTCGCTAACAGTGATTCGGAAGTTTCCGGAGATCGAAGGTCCAGGCATTTCAAAAAATCATTGATTACAGAATTTTCCGGAAATCAAATTTTCAAAGGTGGAACTTAAAAACACAGTTTATTTGTTTGTAAGGGAGAGCTAGATGCTTTATAAGCTTATATTCATGATTAATATTCATTTTTTATCAGTAAATAGTTATTATAATCATAAACTCAAGAAAGAAAGGCATATTTGTAGATTTTAATTACTTCTCTAGGTCATCATAGGTAAGTGTAACTCTAGAAATTTTCCGGAATTTTGACTTGGACTCGCAATCACCCCTGCAAATGTTTTAATGTTACCTTTTTTCTCTTTTGTTAAAGTTTTATTCTAAACCAGCTCAATTTAACTTGCGAATTCTTTATTTTCAGGTGATCCAATTAACATGTACTATCTCAATGATGGTGTTTATGGGTCATTCAACTGCCTAATTTTCGATCATGCTGAAGTTGAACCAATTCCTCTTGTGGTAAGTTTCGATCTAATCTATTTGAAGTTTTTGATATTTTTAACTTGTAAGGAAATGTTTTTTGATTTATTGTATATTTTACAGGATCTGCACGACAGACAACTAATGAAAAGCAGTGTTTGGGGACCAACATGCGACAGCATTGATTGCATTTTAAAATCTTGCACATTGCCATCTATGGATGTTGGAGAGTGGATCATGTTTGAAAACATGGGTGCCTATACAATCTGTGCTGCCTCTAACTTCAATGGTTTCCAAAAGCCTGAGATGAGATGGGCTCTTCCGATCCATGTCCTGTAAGTGTTTGTCTTTTTATTCTACCTTTTTATAGTTATCCTAGTAGGGAATAACCTGAACCAATTTTGATTAGTATCATTAAGATATTTGTCATGTTAGTAAGGCATTTCACTTGGCACGAAGCTTAGTAGTTGTTAATAATGCAACGTGTGGTTATTTATTTTTAAAACTGATGGAATAAGTCCTGAAAATACTATGTGAATTATATAACCGTTTGGTATGTATCAAAGTAAGCTACACCTGATGCATAGGGCTCTATCCCTCTGTAAAATTTCTACATTGAAAGCCATTGAGTCACATGCAAATTTGTTCCTTTTAGAATATTTTTATTTTCAAGGTTTTGAAAATAAATTGGTTGCCATACTTTTTAGCTAAATCTTTTTCAGGTTTTTAGTTTCCAGAAACTAAAAGTTAACTGAAAGAATGTTTGGGTTGTCATTTACTAAGAACCTCCAGGTTGAAGAATAATTTTAAAGACAATTATATTAAAAGCTGCTTCTGAAACTTGTACAGTAAAGTACATTATATTAAGTAGAGGTTGCTTCAATTCATATTAATGATTTTATAATTCACAAAATATTTTCAGGGTTTCTGCATTGATTTCTGGAAGTACATGGCCACATCTTTTTATATTTTTAGTAAATGTTACCAGTAATAATTTTTTTTTTTTTTAATTTTATAGATTATTCATTTCTAAGGTGTTACTCACATCTTATTTGGTGTGAACAAAATAGAATGTATTTTTTAATCATTACTTCTGTCAGCTACAGTTAGTTGTTTATTTAATTACTAGAACTAGTGCTCTATAATTTTTTATTTAATATTCAAAAATTGTTTGTAAGAGTAAGTTTTAAAACTCATGGAAGAAGATTGCTTTATCTTGCATGTCTTTTTCTTATACTAAACAAATTGGTTTTATAATCCATAATCAAAAATTTGCGATTTCTTTTGCGTTGTTGAAGTGAAATTTTTAAATGAAAAGAAATAGCGGGTAGGAAATTAATTACGATTTTTCATAATTGGTAGTTATTATACACTTAGCACTTACTTTAAATTTCTCTGCTCTCTAATTTTTATGACTTTTTTTTTTCTTCAGAACTTACTTGCAACAGCTTCCAACTTGGCCAGATCTTGTTGAGGCTTTTGGAGGCAGTGCATTGGACTTACCAAATGTCAACATCACGCCTGAATGTGAAAACATTGCCAACAAGGGCGTTATGAAAGCCATCCATCGTCGAGAATCTGTATCAGCTTGAAACAGCCTTGTATTTGAATAAACCTGTTTTGCTCATCTATTTTTGTTTCTGCAAATGCTTTTGGTATAGGTTCTGCTAATTTTTTTTTTTTAAATTCATTTTTTAAGGACTTCATTTTCCAACATTTTTGCAATTTGCTGCCTTTTTCCTTTTTTTTTTTTTATTATTTATTTCCTGAAGGCAATGTAATCTGCATAAAATGCTTGGTACTGAATGAAATTTCATTTTTATTTTAAACCTTTAAAATATTGACTTCTCTATGGTGTTAGGTGATGGTGTTTTTAACAATTTTCTTATATAATAGTTAAATGTTGAACTAGGTCATTACTGACATTCCATATTAACTTTATATTTTTTTAAGTTTGAGAGAAAAAAAAGTTTTTGTTTTTAAGTAACTGGAAGTTTCCAGGAAATGTTTTAGTGTTAAATGTGGCTCACTCGAATTGTTTAACTAAATAACTTGTACATTGTTTAAAGTTTAATTGTATTTAAGAATCTGATATTTTGTTTCTGTACTTAAATGTTAATAAATGTATTAAACTAAATATGTTGTCTTTTCTTAATCATCTCATTGTTTCAAAAATTTTAAATAAGCTGCTATGCAATTATGAATGTGTTTGTTTCCTTTAATATAGTTATCTTCAAAGCTGCCAGCTCATTTTATTTAATTAAAAATTCTCATAGTTTTTGAATAATTTTGGCAATTCTGGGGAAGTTTCTGAAATAGTTCCGTAACAAAAAAAGATTCTTCACATTTTGGTTAAATATGTTCAGTGAATTTTTTAATAAATAACTAATTATTGCCATAAAATATTTCTTTTCTTACATTTACATAAAGAGCTAAAGTTTTATTCAGATTTCCATAATACAATATATATGTTTTGTTTTATTTATTCCCCCCCCCCCATGCTTTTGGTGCTTGATCAGAGCTTGTCCCAGGCATCCACTGATTTTTGTACGCAACTGGAATTAGCTGAATACATTTTTCTTCTCGATATTTTTTCCATGAATGGGAGTTGGTAGAATTATTAAGGAGGTTACGGTATTAGTAGGAGACGTGAATCAATTTTATTTTGAATTGTGATTTAAATCAAAAAAGAACAATAAAACTAAAGTAACTCACATTTTTTTTTTTGTAAATACAGGCATGAAAGTTTTCAGCTTTTTTTGCTAACTGGTACTTTCATCCCTGTAAGTACTATACCAATATTATTACAAGCAACCTTTCCATGTGTTCCAAGTCTACAGGGTTCCCGCGGCCTTGAAAAAACCTTGAAAAGTACTTGAATTTCATTTTGATTTTCAAGGGCCCCTAAAAGTACTTGAAAAAAATATTAAATCCTTGAAAAAATTCGAAATCACCTTGAAAAGTATCGAAAACTCAGGAAAACCAGTATTTCTATGTTTAACTTTTTGACGCGCGTAAGTGTGAGAGAATGACTTCCCCGTCTTTCAGATGATGACACGTACTGTTTGATTTTAGGATTTTATGTATGTTTGACTGATTTTAGGAATTTTAAATATTAGGAACTGCTCCAAATTCTGACAAATCTCGATTCTTATTCACGCGATTTTAATATCAATCATCGATCTTCGTATTAGACTTATTTAAAAATTATGTGTTGCAAGGGTGAAAGACTTCCGCGAAAAAGCGGAAATCCGCTTTTTTTCCCCAATTTTGAAAATTTCCGACATGTTCCAAAAACTAAAATTTTTGGGAAGTCCTATTGGAGAAACCCAAGCCGCCCGAACGATAGTCGGATTACCGCGACTTCTGCTATAGAGTGGAAAGGAGTCTAAGCGTTTCGTTTCGAGCGCCGATATTTGATTTTTTTTTTTTT